ATAACGAAAATGCAATGAAAACCGAGTCAAAACTCTTTGTAAAAAGCCACAAATTCTCGAGCCATCACTATGATAGGTGAGTAAAAGACTCTAAACTTTTGGGCCGAAGCCTTCAACGCATATGACTAGTTAATGTTGGGACATGTATACCAATAACACTATAACCGACAAGAAAACTTAATTACTACGTTATATCTCTCTTGTTTGCATACAATCAAAGCTACTCCTACCAGCTGTCACTAAGTGAGAGAGAGATAGAGAGGAAGTTGTACCAATTCGCCGACAATAATGAGTAGAGATCATTGTATAAATCGAATATGTATTATTATCAAACAATTTACTATGAATTTAATGAATTTGATGTAGCCATCTCGATGCATGAACCTTCAATACAAATATTAGTGTGGGGAGCATAGGAGAGCCAAATTCCCCTCCTAGTTTACATTGTAATCCTCTAATCGACAAAATAACCACTTCATTTTTGTAAATCTCTTTTGTCGGCATATATACAAAGCTCCTCTGACTAGCTGTCATACAAAGAGAAATATGTACCGATTCGCTGGCAGTAACTGCTTAGGTCTAATAATCAAATACATATAGCGAAGTATTTGATGATATGTATTACAACCAAACAATTTATCAAATTTAATGTAATCATCGCAATGCAAAAGCCTTCAATATAAATATCGGTGCGTGGAGCACCCCAAAGCCAAGCATTCCCCTCCTAGATTTCCAACAAGGATGTGGAAATAATAAATAGGCCACCTTGTTTATAGTTTTCTCCCAGAGTCACCATTAGCCTTTCCTCCTATTTTCATATTTTTGCCCTCCTGCCGTTCCGATTTTGCCTCCAGAGCCCCGACTCACGGCCACCGTCGTGAACAGCACCGGCGCTCCGCCGGCGTCGGCGTTTCGTGGGGGCGACGCCGGCGCGACCCGACGCCGGCGGCACCTACCCCGCGCTTCTCCGCCGCAGCTCAACCAATTCCTCTCTAGATTAGGGTTTCTTCCTAACTAAATCTGGCAATTACACCGCCGCTCTACATTTTCCAATCCATTCCTCGTACCGCCGACCAAGCCTGATCGCGACCCGCAGCTCCTCTGCCTCCTACGCCGCAGTGGTGTTCCGTCGGCTGGCTCTGCATCGTCTCCCCGAGGATCTCCATTTCTAGTGTTCAACCTGATCACTCCCTACGTAGATCCGCCCGGCCTAAAGATTTCGTTTCTTCGTTGTGGTAAGCCCTGTCCCTACCCGAGTTCGAGCTATTTCTTTTAGTTCGGGATTCTTCCAAGTTCTTTGTATCCGCATGTTACTGGATCTGTTGCGAATTTGTTGTTTTGCTGATGTTCTTAGTTTAGTCCATCCAATGGATGGAGTTCTAGCTCCTAACCGGACCTTATCCGAGCCACGAGTTCTTGTTACTACGGAAATGATGTTTGGCTCGTAGGCGTAGTCATGTCGTCGCCGGAATTGAACACTTACGTTAGTGGGGTTTGCACGAACACAACAGTTAGACACAGAGTACGTTCAAGATCCCAGCAAAGCCGTGAAGATAAAGTAGATGGAAATTGCATAGGCGTTTTCTTTCGTCTGGTTCTGTGACTCCCTACGAATCATGCGTGTCAACAATTATATCGCTGTTAAAACATGCTGGTTCCTTCCTGTTTCATACGTAGATGGAAGTAATCTTGGATGGAACCTTGTGCCGTTCTGTTCTGCAGGCTACCTTAAATGTGTTCTGCTGCTGCAGGGTATCAGGAAAAGTTTTACTAACTTATTACTGACCTTGATTGACGTGGAACATTGAGTAAATAGAAAATTTATCAGGTTTAGCTAGACCACTTGTTGTATTGGCAACCGAAGCTAGATCACTATGGTCAAGCTACTAATACCAGAATTAGCACATGGAGCTGCAACTGAGCTCCCTCTTGATTGGGGCACTCTTCCATCAGTATAGCACTATAGCTTCGCATGTTCGTTCTGTTTGACCCCCTTATGTTAGGAAGACAATATTTTAATACCCATGAGAAATTTCTCGAGTCTCAAATTTTATAGATTCATTATGGCATTTAAATTCTTGAAATGTTAACCACATGATATAAATATATCATGATCAAAGTCTTGGGTTTCAGTTTTACATTTGGTAAGTGATTGTCATTTCGTGTGACCTTTTAAATACAGTTTCGAAGAAGTCATTCGCTCTTGATAGTGACTCTGGCTTCATGTAGAAACACTAGCACAATTATTTTCAGCTCAGATGCTATTGAACTAATGGTCAAGTGGACAAATACTGTTTGTTTTATGATATATCATACTTCTTGTTCCAGCATAATTCAAATCCAACCCCTTTTTTGCTTTTTGTTGTTTTCCTTGTCGCTAACTATGCTTTTCTGCAGTTGTACTGCTCACAGTTGTAATTTGCAAGCTAGCCATGGAAGACAACAATGATGAGCATAATGTATCTCTTCCTCAGGATATCCAGCACACCATTCTTGCTTCACTACCTGCTAGGGTTGTTCTCAAGTTTCGAACAGTATGTAGATTCTGGCGAGACTGCATTCAAGAGCCCAATTTTGTCGATCGTCACCTCAACAATGCTCTCCGCTCCCACCGGTCCATTGCTTGCTTCACCTCGGTTGATGAGGGTCTTGTCTGCATGTACACATTTGATCCCACCACACTGAACTGCAAAAGCATGGATCTCGTGTTGTCGAGTAGGTTTCAGATGTCAGACCCATGCCATGGCTTGGTGTGCGCCTATGATTTAAAAGGTGCTGTTGAGGTGTTGAATCCAACAACAAGGATACATTTGAGGCTGCCAGTTTCAGAGCTACAGTCACTTGCTTCAGAATATTTTCTTGGACCTGTGCCTTCAACAAAGGAGTACAAGGTGCTCTGTATCCACCACCGGGTGCGGTTCTTGACATTTGAAGTATGCACTGTTGGCACACAGTCATGGAGGGCAGTGCGCGAATCTGCAGGCCTCCTGAAGACAACAAAGGCGGTCATTGTTAATGATGTCATGCATTGGCTACTTCTTGATGAGATATCCTCCAATTTTACTCGGAACATCTTGTCGTTCAACCTGACAGATGAGATGTTCTCAGAAACTGCTGTCCCAGATGCTGTAAAAGACCGTGAATTGCACCTGTTCGAGGGGGGAGGAAAGCTTCATTTGCTGGCAATGCCCGGTGAGGGATCAGCACCTAAAACCTCAGAGATTTGGGTGGCGAACTCGACCTGTGCAGTCTGGGACCACATGTGCAACATCGCTTTTGTGCTACCTTTGGGCATGAGGCCACTTTTCCTGCACAACAATAAGCTCTTCTATTGCAACCAAAGAAGATTCTACTATGTTGATCTTCAGGATGGGAGTGGTTCCTATCTCAACATGCCTTTTGGCGAGTGCATCATATCGGCTGGGATTTTCGTGGAGAGCCTTGTTCTACATTCTGTGACTGGCCTGGTGGACTCCAGAGCAATGCTACAAAGTCCCCATGATGCTAGATCATTTCCAACAGGGCGTGGACCATCTGCTCGTGGCGCTGGATCGTCCTCAGCAAGCCCTCGACGATCTTTCAAGAAGGCAAAGAGCAATATAAACATGCAGTGGAGGTTGGCATAGATCTCGCAAACGCCTGACATCATATCCATGAATAGTTCTCTGCTATGTACAATCCAATAAAGTTTACTGGTGTTTGTTTGTGTAGAGATGAAGAAATAGACCATGGGGGTGTGGGTCTGGGACAGGGTAGAACATAAGAAGCAAATAAGAAAGTGTCTCTGTTAGCAGTTTGTTCATTTTTATCGTATGGGGATTTATGTGCTGTACTGGAAAATAAAATGAAAACTCTGAACCTGATATACTGTATACTTGTTCTGGTTTGCTGTAATGAACTGTATTCCTGCGTTGCATTTTTGAAAATTATGATGCCAAGACTAATAATTCAAACCGCTGTCTCCGGTTGTTGCATTTATGAGGATCTATGCGCTGTGCTGAAAAATGAAGACTCTGAGAGCATCTCTAGCAGACCCCTTCTAAGGGGTTTACGGTTTCCCTCTTATAAGGGGCGAATTTGGCTGCGGTAGAACAGAAACTGCATATTAAACTTTGAAAAGAAAGGTTTCACATGAGAGATGAACAAGAAACAGTAGTAGATAGAAGTTGATCATTGATACATAGGGTAGATTCGTCGAAGCATCGGACTAGCCTTAACTGCCCAAAATGGGGCTCATCGGAGCCCTCCGGACGCCGCGGCATGGTGGCAATCACTCCTCCTCGTCGGAGGTGAGGTCGATGAACATGGAGTCTTGTGCGTCGGCTTCATGGTGCCACGCCTCGGAAGGAGCGCTTCCGCGCCTCGGCGGCGGCGACACATCACTTGCAATCTTTGTCATTGTCACCATCACCTTGCGCTCCACATCCCACGCCACATGAGGCAGAGTGGTGACGGATTTGTCGCCAAAGTCGCGGATAGGGGTGGCCGTCGGCGAGAAATGCGAGTGCATAGGGATGGATTGCGGCCGTGGTAAAAGGGGCTGCCACCTGTATACCGCCCGCGGGACGGTAGATATACCGTCCAGAGGGGCGATTTTGTGGGCCACTGTAAACCGTTTACAGGCCGCGATGACTATATGGGGTCTATTCTGGCTCAAAAAATAGCTCAAACCCGTATAGTCGCGGAAATACAAGGATCGGGGCGATTATAAAGGGTCTACTGGAGAGATGCTCTGAACCTATTATATACTATACACTTGTTTCGGTTTGCTGTACGAACTGTACTCCTGCACTGTATTTCTGAATTTTCTTATACCAAGACCAATACAAACTGTCGCCTCCAGGTTTTTTTTTTGGAGGGGAATCGCCTCCAGTTTTTTGAGGATTAATACTGTCGCCTCCCGTTACATTCGTGTCATTCCAGCAAAAAAAATTTACATTCGTGTCACACCAGTACATACAAATGCTGCGGAACTTCCCGAAAGTATTTGGCGACGCGACTCAAACAGTTGGCAAGCTCAGCAACGGCGGGAAGCCGAAGTACGGCCACCAGCCGTCGCTGACACCGCCGGAGCACCGCGCCCGGCAGACTCTCTCCAGCTCGAGGCGCCCGACGTCGATCTTAAACAGCTCGACGTCCCGGCTGTCGTGGCTCGACGACATGAACGGTCGCGGCGAGTCTTGGTTGACTTCAATGATCAAGCACCCGTTGGCCGCGCCGCGGATGCAGAACGGACGGCCGTGCGCCGTCGACCATGGCAGCGGGATCGTCTTCTCGAGCCGCCACGACTTCGCCGCGCCGTCGACTTCGTGAGGGATCGTGTAGTAGTTGAGGCTGGCGTTGCCGTTGGCGTGGTAGAAGTCGTGCGCGAACACGCCGACTTCGCCGTCCGCGCCCTCCACGACGACGACGTTCTCCTCCCAGAACCTGGCCGGCGCCGGGATCTCCTGGACGGAGAGCTCCATGGCGCCGATGTCGAGCACCAGCCAGCGGTTGGTGAGGCAGTCCGCCCAGTAGAAGCGGCCGTGCGCGTAGTGCCGCCGGTTCCAGACCGCGTGCACCGGGCAGGAGAAGGGCGACCGGTGGCGCCTCCAGACGAAGCAGTCCGGCGACGGGAGCGCGCGCCACCGCCCGTCCCGCGACGAGAAGGCGAGCGCCACGACCTTCCTCGGGCACCGCGCCATCCAGATCACCACGAACGAGGGCTCCTCCTCGTCCCTGCCCCCCTCGGCGTCGGCCGGCGCGAGGAAGGGCTCGCACCAGCGCCGGCCGCCGAGGACGCCGAGCGGGTTGTCGGCGCTGGCGGCGAGGTCCTCCGGGATGGGCGGGAGCAGGACGTAGCGGCGGGACACGGGGTCGCAGACGGCGAGATCCGTGACGATGTCGCTGTCGAAGGTGGTGTCGTGGTTCTAAGCCTGACAGTAGAGTGGGGGGTAGGTATGGAGAGGCAAGGTCCTAGCTATGGAGAGGTTGTAGGCACAAAGGATGTACGAGTTCAGGCCCTTCTCGGAAGAAGTAACAGCCCTACGTCTCGGAGCCCGGAGGCGGTCGAGTGGATTATGAATGTATAGATTACAAGGTGCCGAACCCCTCTGCCTGTGGAGGGGGGTGGCTTATATAGAGTGCACCAGGACCCCAGCCAGCCCACGTAGGAGAAGGTTTAAGGTGAGTTAAGTCTGGGGCGTTACTGGTAACGCCCCACATAAAGTGCCTTTACTATCATAAAGTCTACTTAATTACAGACCGTTGCGGTGCAGAGTGCCTCTTGACCTCCTGGTGGTCGAGTGCGTCTTCGTGGTCGAGTCCTTCAGGCCAGTCGAGTGTGTCCTTGTTGGTCGAGTGAGTCCTCGTTGGTCGACTGAAAGGCGACCTCTTCTAGGGATGTCCTAGGGTAAGTTACTTGGGACAGGTCCGTGACCCTACCCTAGGTACATAACCCCATCATTAGCCCCCGAATGGATTGAGGCTTCGAGTGAAGAAGGAGTTGATGTCGTTTCCGATTAACCTTTGCGCTCTAGTTGTGCGCTGTTCTGGATCAAAGAACCTCTTCGTTGACAAGGAGCAATTCGTCTTCGGTCGACTCGATCCATTCTATTTTTGCGTCGAGTGATCTTTCGAGCTTCGTCGATCTCCGAGCGACGGATCGCCGGAATCGCCGCGTCTGACAGGCAGATTTGTTGTTCGCGGATTCTGCGGGGTGCGAAATTTGGGGGCGCGCGCGAAGCGGGGCGGACCGCGGCGTTCGGATGGGACGGGGCGTAGACGCCTCGATCTCCGCGCCGCCTTTTTCGCCACGTATCCAGTCCTCATAACTGCTCACAGATATGATTAGATCGACCGGGCCCACACGTCAGTCACTCGGAAGGGACCTTATAAATGTGCCCGGCGAGAATTTCTGTGCTGCGCCTCCGCATTCTCCCTCTCTCCCTCTGCTCCCTTCCTCCCTGCTCAGCGTGCCCGCTCTCGCCTCCGCACCGCTTCCCTTCGTGCATCCCTCCGGCGACCATGGCCAAGGAGAAGACGGCGGCGCTGGAGCGTGCCAAGAAGGCGTCGGCGTCGGAGAAGGCGAAGGGGAGATCCACCAGCCGCCGAGGATCCTCGTCCAGATCCCGCCTGCCGAAAGGCTGGGTCCAAGGCGACTGGATCCAGTCGACCATCACGGAGAAGGACCTCCTCGACATGGCCGACGAGGGCTTGATCCCTCACGGAGCTGTGAGGTTGCCGGGGAAGGAGTGGCAGCCACAGCCAGAAGAGGGTGAGTGTGTGCTTCTGGCCACTCATGTCGATCGGGGGTTTTCCTTGCCACCAAGCATTTTCTTCCGTGGTTTCTTGAATTTCTTCGGAGCGCAGCTCCACCACTTTACCCCAAACTCCATTGCCTACCTTGCTGCATTCGTGTCCATGTGTGAGGGTTTCTTGGGCTGTCGACCGCACTGGGGTTTGTTCAAACGTATCTTCACGTGTCGCTCTCAGACCGTGAAGAAGGCGAGCCCAGGTGACGAGAAGACCCGAGTCGTCCAAATGTGTGGGGCCTGGGGATTCAGGTGAGGAACAATAGCACCTTCCCGCCCATGTCTTTTCCCGAGTCCGTCAGGGGCTGGCAGTCGACTTGGTTCTACTGCCAGGTCCAGTCGACGCCAGGGCAGTCGAGTGGACTCCCTCCGTTTACCATGGACCGAGTGAACAAGCCCTCCCCTCTGAAGCTGATTCCGGAGGAGAAAGCCGACGTGAAGATGTTGATGGAGCGAGTGGTGCAGCTGGTTCGGGACGGAGTGACAGGCATGGACCTCTTGGAGGTTTTCCTCAAGCGCCGCATCCAACCTCTCCAGTTCCGGAGCCACTGCATGTGGTTGTACTGTGGGCCCGCGGACGAGACCAGAGTCCATCCAGAAGAAGTCGATGATGTCACTCTGGAAAGGTGGATGGTAGCCGTTACTGGAAACAGGGACAACCCGCACGGAGCCAGAAGGATTCCTCCACTCGACCACGACAGCGTCCCAAACAAGGTATGCTTGCTCTGCTTTCCATCATGTCTTTGCTGTATTCATTTCTGCCGATCCTGTCGACTGGTCAACTGATCCTTGTTTGGGCGACTGCTAGGCCTTCACCGAGCTGTACTCGATGCCCAATGGGGCACAAGCTTCGACTGAGGAAGGCGAGGCGAGCGGGGGCGAGGCGAGCGGGGGCGAGGGCCAGGAAGAGGAGGAATGGGACTCGGATGCTGCAGGGGATGACGACGACGATGATGATGATGAAGGTGATGAAGATGACATCGAGGACGAGGAAGGAGAGGAGGAGGAGGTCGTTCCACCGCGCTCAGAAAGGCGGTCGAAACTTGTCCACGACCCCTCGACCGAACGTGGTAAGGGGGTAGCGACTGCCGCCCAGTCGATCAAGCGCCCTCGGACCACCTCTCCGGCGCCGACTGAAAAGGCGCCGAAGCAGCCCAGGGCGGCCTCATCGAAGCCGACCAAGCTCCTGCCGAAGATGAAGGTGTCCATCCCCACCATTTCAGGGTAATTGTGTTGCTCATATTTTCTTATTCTTATGCGAACTTTATCTCTGGTCGACACTGATGTTAGTCGACTGATCCTTTGGAGTTGCAGTGCCGCTACTTCTGAGACCTCGGCCCGGGCCGACGACCACGAGATGGAGGATGCAGCAACTTCGAATCCAGGTGCTGTGTTCTTAATACCACTCTTGGTCGACTGACTCGCGATCTCTGATCCTGACCCTTCTCTGCAGCTCCACCCAACACAGTTATCGATCTACCTGATGATGATGAGGATGAAGAGCCGCTGAAGCACAGGAGGAGTCGGAAAGCGTCCGCCGGCAAGGTGTCTCAGGATGTGTCAGCGCCTGAAATTCTGACTGTGGAGGGAGAGAACACCACTCGACACACGGTGACCTTCGCGACCCCACTGACGAGTGCTCAGCAGCCCTCCCTCTTCACGACTCACCACGTCCCAGAGGACCAAGCTGGTGCGGCGAAGGAGGCGATACGCCAGGCGGGACTCATGATGGAGCAGCTGAAGACCATCCGGGATGCGAGTCAAGCAGCTTATGACGCCAGCTCTGCCCTCCAAAGCAATGTCCAGGTCAGTCGACTGCTGTTTGTTCTGTTGGATATGCTACCAAAAACTTTTCTTTTCCGGGATTTATATTAGTCACCCACTGGGAGTGTCGAATAAACTCCGTGTTAGCGGGGGCACGCTGAGTGCACCCGCTGGGTGTAGTCCCCAAGGCTAAGGTCGATTGCTGGCAGTCGGCCTTAGGCTTTATAATGTCAATCTTTCTATCAGTCGACTGGTCGACTGGATTTCGCAAACCGGTGGGGGCACGCTGAGTGCACCCACTGGGTGTAGTCCCCGAGACTGTGGTCGACTGCTTGCAGTTGATCACAGTCTTAGATAATGCGTCTCGCACACTGTTGTTTTTTTTTTTGAGGTCGACTGGTCGACTTTGTCTTCAACAGGATTAGTGGGGGCACGCTGAGTGCACCCACTGGGTGTAGTCCCCGAGACTACGGTCGAATGCTTGTGTTCGGCTGTAGTCTTAGAAACTTGTGTTTTTCCCTTTTTCACTCGGAAGTGAATTATTTTTGACGTTTAGTCGATTGGTTCTTCGCAGAACTCCTGTGATCTTGTGGCTCGCTACTCAGAGCTAGAACAGAAACATACTCAAGTCGAGCTGAGCTTGAAGCTGGTTCAGGAGAAGCTGACAAAGGCGAAGGAGGAGACTGAAGGTATGTTTGGTGAGACCTTGACGACTGCTTTTCCTCTTGCTTGTTTCAACATCTGATCTTGCTGTGTCTTGCAGGTAAGGTGAGGGAGGCCCAGCAGAAGAAAGACCTTGAGCTAGCTGAGAAGATCAAGCTTGCTGACGAGAAGTTAGCTTCAGTCACCAAGCTTGAACAAGACAATACCAACCTGAAAACTGCTCTTGGGATTGCCAACAAAGAAGTCAGTCGACTGAGAACTGACAAAGCTGCCTTGACCGATCAAGTCAGCAAATTGACTGAGAAGAAGACTGCGCTGGAGGCCTTCCTGAGTGGCTTTGCCAAGAAGCTGTTTCTTATGCTCGAAGGTAAACCTCCATGTTTGGCAAATATTTCTGACTGTGGCTTCTTCCATTCGACTATCCCCTTGACTTAGTGATCACTCTTGCAGAATTTTGTCAAAACTTTGAAGAAGAAACCAGCCGACTGGAGCCAAACCTTGACCCTGTCAATTCTCCGGTGAATGACGAGGTTGCCATGGATATCTTCCGACTGGAATCTCGCGTTGCATCCGTCGTGGATTATCTCGCAAGGCTGAAGGCCGCCACATCTCGCATCGACTCGACGCTCTGGCCTGAGGAGACACTTCAGAATGACCTTGAGTCATTAATGGCCCGCTTGAACACGATCCCTGGTCGAGTGCAGGAATGGAAGAAGTCCTCAGCTCGGTGTGGCGCAGATGTTGCTCTGTGTCTGGCCCGAGTCCACTGCAAAGATGCACGAGAGGAGAAGCTGGCGGCTCTTCGGGTGGCCATTACCAAGAAGCACGACTTCAGGTCCTTTATGGAGACTTTCCTTGCAGCTGCCACTCGGATCGCCGACGGAATTGACCTTGATGAATTCGTCGCACCTTCCAGCCCTCCACAGGAGGGGTAAAAAACTTCTTATGGCTCGACTCTTTTAAAT